GCACAGGTTGCAGTGAGCCAAGATCCTGCCACTGCACTCCAGCCTGGGTGACAGAGCAAGACTCCGTTCCCCGCCCCCCTCCCCACGCCAAAAACAAAAAACAAGCTTTGGTTATCGGAGAACTTAAGAGAGGGAGAAGGGGGTGCGGGGGGGGGGGAGGGAGCAATTAAGCGCATTTCAAAGGATCCTATGAGATCCTTCCCTGAGACTTCTACTGTATACCATAGAAGCGGCTTAATGAAGGGGAAGAACTCTGGGGAGCAGAGAGGGCAATCTGTACTGGATTACATTGTTTAGCTGGCCATCGGGAGGGGTAACTCCTTTGGTAAAATGAATATATGGTTTTTTGGTTTTTTTGAGACGGAGTCTTGCTCTGTTGCCAGGCGCAGTCTTGGCTCACTGCAACCTCCGCCTCCCGGATTCAAGCGATTCTTCCGCCTCAGCCTCCCATGCAGCTGGGATTACAGGCGCATGCCAAACGCCTGGCTAATTTTTTGTATTTTTAGTAGAGACGGGGTTTCACCATGTTGGCTAGAATGGTCTCAATCTCTTGACCTCGTGATCCACCCGCCTCTGCCTCCCAAAGTGCTGGGATTACAGGCGTGAGCCACCATGCCCTGCCCTATCCAACTTTTGACAAGGACGTGGTCCCCAGGCTGATGTTGGTGTGCTAGAAACCAGGGGTGGCACCTGCACTAAAAGATCTTTAGTTCTGAGGGAAGGGAAGGTGGAAGATAAACCACGTATATAATTTCTGAGAAACCCAGCTAGATTTTTTTTTTTTTTTTAAACTTAGGATAGTTCTGACCTGGTGAAGTGTGCACAGTGAGGTTTCCTTTAACACACTTAATTTTTTTATTACTTTTCTCCATTAGCAAAGCAGTTGCTGCCACAGATTGAATGCATTTGGGTCATCTGCAGGCCACTGGGTTAAGGATTTTTGACAGGAAGGCTACTGACTGTCAGTGGCCTCTGTGCCTTTGGGCTTTTTTTTTTTTTTTTTTTTTTTTTTGAGATGGAATCTCACTCTATCACCAGGCTGGAATGCAGTGGCGCGATCTCGGCTCACCGCAGCCTCCGTTTTCCAGTTTCAAGGGATTTTCCTGCCTCAGCCTCCTGACTAGCTGGGACTACAGGCACACACCACCATGCCCAGCTAATTTTTTTAATTTTTAGTAGAGATGGGGTTTCACCATGTTGGCCAGGATGATCTCAATCTCCTGACCTCGTGATCCACCTGCCCAGCTAACGTTTTGTGTGTTTAGTAGAGATGGGGTTTCACAGTGTTGGTCAGGCTGGTCTCAAACTCCTGGTCTCGAACTCCTGACCTCGTGATCTGCCCACCTCGGCCTCCCAAAGTGCTGGGATTACAGGCGGGGTGGGAGCCACCATGCCCAGCCCACTCTGACTTTCCCCCCGCCGCCCAAGATGGAGTCTTGTTCTGTAACCCAGGCTGGAGTGCAGTGGCATGATCGGCTCACTGCAACCTTTGCAACCTCTGCCTTCGGGTTCAAGCGATTGTCCTGCCTTGGCCTCCTGAGTAGCTGGGATTACAGGCACCTTCCCACCTCTCATGGCTAATTTTTACAGTTTTGGTAGAGACGGGGTTTCACCATGTTGGCCAGGCTGGTCTCAAACTCCTGACCTCAAGTGATCCACCCGCCTCAGCCTCCCATGTGCTGGGATTACAGTCGTGAGCCACTGCACCTGGCCCCTCTCTTCTTTACAAAGACTCTTGTGATGACATTGGGCCCACGTGGATAACCCAGGGTCACCTCCCCTATCTCAAGATCTTTAGCTGAATCAGACTCTCTTTTGCCATGTGTGGTCACATATTCACAAGTTCAGAAGATTAGGATGTGGATATTTGCGGGGAGAGGGGGCGGTGGCGGCATTATTTTGTATACCTCAAGAGGAGACAGAAAAGTGAGAAATCCAAAAAAGCATGGGGTATAGTGGCTCACACCTGTAATCCCAGCACTTTGGGAGGCCAAGGCAGGACGATCGCTTGAGCCCAGGAGTTCAAAACCAGCCTAGGTAACATGATGAGATGTCATCACCACAAAAAAATTTATGTGCATTTTTTGTTGTTGTTGTTGGTTTTTTCTTTTTTTTTTTTTAGATGGGGTCCCTGTCACCCAGGCTGGAGTACAGTGACACAGTATCGGCTCACTGAAACCTCCGTGCCCTGAGCTTAAGGGATCCTCCCTCCTCAGCATCCTAAGCAGCTGAGACCACAGATGCATACCACAGTGGCGGCTAAGTTTTTTGTTGCTGTTGTATTTTTGGTAGAGACAGTGTTTTACGTCGTTCCCCAGGCTTGTCTTGAACTCCTGAGCTCAAGCAATCTGCCTGCTGCAGCCTCCCAAATTGCTGGGATTACAGGCGTGAGCCACGGTGCCTGGCCACAAAAAAATTCAAAAATTAGCCAGGAGTGCCTGGGTGCAGTGGTTCACCCCTGTAATCTCAGCACTTTGGGAGGCCAAGGTGGGCAGATCACGTGAGGTCAGGAGTTCAAGACCAGCCTGGTGAAGATGGTGAAACTCCATCTCCACTAAAAATACAATAATTAGACCAGGTGCCTGTAATCCAAACACTTTGGGAAACTGAAGCAGGTGGATCACAAGGTCAGGAGTTTGAGACCACCCCCACCAAAAAGGTGAAACCCTATCCCTACTAAAAATACAAAACTTAGCTGGGTGTGGTGGTGTGCGCCTGTAATCCCAGCTACTCAGAAGGCTGAGGCAGAAGAATCGCCTTTAACCTGGAAGGTGGAGGTTGCAGTGAGCCGAGATTGCACTACTGCACTCCAGCCTGGGCAACAGAGCAAGACTCCATCTCAAAAAAAAAAAAAGCTAGGCCGGGCGCGGTGGCTCAAGCCTGTAATCCCAGCACTTTGGGAGGCCGAGGCGAGTGGATCATGAGGTCAAGAGATCGAGACCATCCTGGTCAACATGGTGAAACCCCGTCTTTATTAAAAATACAAAAAATTAGCTGGGCGTGGTGGCGCGTGCCTGTAGTCCCAGCTACTCGGGAGGCTGAGGCAGGAGATTTGCCTGAACCCAGGAGGCGGAGGTTGCGGTGAGCCGAGATCATGCCATTGCACTCCAGCCTGAGTAACAAGAGCGAAACTCCGTCTCAAAAAAATAAATAAATAAAAATTAAAAAAAAAAAAAAAAAGCCAGGCATGGTGTCACGCACCTGTAATCCCAGAATCCCAGCTACTTGGAGGCTGACATAGGAGAATTGCTTAAACCCTGGAGGCAGAGGTTGAAATGAGCCGAGATCATGCCACAGCACTCCAACCTGGGCAACAGGGTGAGACCCCGTCTCAACAAAATATATAAAAATTAGGCCAGGCTGTGCGCAGTGGCTCACACCTGTAATCCCAGCCCTTTGGGAGGCTAAGGCAGGTGGATTCCTTGAGCTCAGAAGTTTGAGAGCAGCCTGGGCAACATGGCAAAACCCCATCTCTAAATAAATAAACAAATAGCAAGCCAGGTATCATGGTGCACACCTGTGGTCCCAGCTACTCGGAGGCTGGAGTGGAAGAATCACTGGAGCCCGAAAGTTTGATGCTGCAGTGAGCCATGATTGTGCCACTGCACTCCAGGCTGGGCAACAGAGCAAAACCCGTCTCAGAAAGAAAAATGGAAGATCTGACCATTCGGTCGGACAAGGCAGCTGACCCAGCATGAACAGGAAGTGAAGGAGAGAGAAATGGATGGTGAAGGCCAGGACAGGCCAGGCTTTGCTGCAGTAACACCCAGCCCCCAAATCTCTGTGGGCCACAACCACGACGGTTTGTTGCTGGCACTCCCTGCTTATCTGGGTCTGGGGCTGGGGCTGGGGCTGGGGCTGGGGCTGGCAGGGTGGCAGCTCCTCTGGGTGGCACAGGGAACTTGGCTGATAGAGGCGCCCTCTCCACACATCCTCCAGCATCCACTCCCAGTCCCTTAGACTTCTATCCAGAAGTGACACGTGTCACTTCCACCCTGATGGCATTGCTCAAACCGAATGTGGCCATGTCAAAGTTCCCCAGGATGGGGCCTGGAATTCTTCTGCATGGGAGGTTCAAGCAGATGTTTGGGGACAGTCTGCCGCAAATCAGACAGGTGAGCAACAGATTCAGGCCGGGCGTGGGGGGGGTCACACCTGTAATCCCAGCACTTTGGGAGGCCAAGGCAGGTGGATCGCCTGAGGTCAGGAGTTCGAGATCAGCCTGGCCAACATGGTGAAACCCCATCTCTACCAAAAATACAAAAATAAACTGGGCGTAGTGGCGGGCACCTGTAATCCCAGCTAGTCGGGAGGCTGAGACATGAGAATCGCTGGGGCCTGGGAGGCGGAGGTTGCAGTGAGCCGAGATCATGCCACTGCACTCCAGCCTGGGCGACAGAGTAAGATCCCATGTCAAAAACAAAACAAAACAAAACAAAAAAAGATTCAGAGATTCAGAGACCCACAGATGTGGAAGAGAGCTTCTATTTGGTCTCATTTACTACCTAACCCCCGCTCTCCCGTTTGGAGTTGAAGAAAGCAAGGCTTAGAGAGGCCACGCTCCCACCGTGGTAAATCCAGGGCCAGAGTGACAAGATGCATCCTGAGCCCCGTGTGCCGAGCCTTGGCGGGGCAAAGTTGGGGCCCAAAGGATGGTCAGACACAGCAGCTCCTAATTCTCGGAGACAGATCCCCGTTCCAGCCCCAGCTCACCGCGAACCGAGCGCACGTGACACCCAGGGAGTCAGCCCCGCCAGAGTCTCCGCCACGGGGCGTCCGGGAACGCGCCTTCTGTGGCGTGAGCGGCCGCTTGTCACCACCAGGGGGCGCGCTCTGCCTGGGCTCAGATTCCACTGCTTCTCTGTCTCCCCACAAAAATTTCCTTTCACTTTCGGTCTCTGGTTGTCACCCGGTTTGGCCCCTTCCACCCAGCTGGGGCAAGCCTGATGCGTGGGGAGACTTGGACTCTAGGTTCCCGAAGGGGTGGAGCCAAGGTCCCTACTCCTGGGACAGAGGGAGCAGAGGATGGGGGGCTGGGTTCCTGGGTCCCTAACCTGGGGAGGGTTCTGGGGACCAGACGTCGGGGTTCTTGGAAGTGGAGATGAAGAGTTTTCACCGAAACTGGTGCAGACGCAGGAAGCCTGGGGGAGGAAGGGGGGGAAACCCGGCCACATCAAAGTCACACAGGAGAGGTAGGGAGGCGCAGGGGCGGGCAGGGCAGGGGCTGGGGCATGGGGGTCCGAGACTTCTTGTTCTGTCCCTTCCAAGACCCGGCCGCAGGAGGCATGAGGGTCCCCCGGCCGAGATGACAGTGCTGGTGCCAGCCTGGAGTCCAACAGTGCGTAAAACCCAGAAAAGGTCGTGGGAGAGACAGGGGAGGTACAATGTCAGGAAGAGGCAGAGGTGTGGGGAGACCGACAGGAGGGGAGATGGACAGAGGAGGGGGAGATGGAGAGGAGAGGAGATGGAGGGGAGGGGAGATGGAAGGGGGGAGATGGAGGGGAGGGGAGATGGAGGGGAAGGGGAGATGGAGGGGAAGGGGAGATGGAAGATGGACAGGAGCGGGGGATGGACAGAGGAGCATGCTGGTGGTGGACAGAGCCGGGAACGAATGAACAGAACGTGAATCAAGATAAAGAGAGGCACGCGACAGGGGTGTAGAAGGCGGAGGGAGGCGCAACGCTGGAGGAACCCGGGCGAGGAGAGCAGTCTTGAGAATGAAGCGGTCGGAGAAGGACGGCCATCGTTGGGGAGATGGGGAGAGAGAGGGGTGGGGCAGAGGAGGATCAAACTGGACGCCGTTGGACCAGAGGCAGAGAGAAACGGGGGAAGGAGGGGCAGGGACGGGGCCAGGTCTCTAGAAAGTACGGACGCGGTTTAAGGACACGGTGTCGAGGCGGGGAGGAGCGCGGAGGACAGATGAGTGCAGGCGGGAAGCCCGGAGGAGGGGGCTGTGTGTGGAACAGCGGAGGGCTCCCCCAGCTCCTCCTCCCCTGCAGACTCGTCTCCTGCTGCTGCTGCTGCTGAGCTCGGAGCTCAGTGGGACCCAGGACTGCTCCTTCCAGCTCAGCCCCATCTCCTCCGACTTCGCTGTCAAAATCCGTGAGCTGGTGAGCGGCGTTGCCCCGACCCCCTCATGGGATCCCCCTGCATGTTTTTTTTTTTTTTTTCTTTTTAAAGTAGAGATGGGGTCTCTCTCCCTGTGTTGCCCAGGGTGGTCTCGATCTCCTGGGCTCAAGCGATGCTCCCACCTTGGCCTCCCAAAGTGCTGGAATTACAGGCGTGAGCCACTGTGCTGGGAGGTGTCGCCCCTTCTTGAGCTCAAGGTTCTGTGGCTTCTTCTGGGTTCCCCCTCTCTGAGTCTTGTCCCCCTCTCCCTCTGGATCTCTGCTGCCCCCTCTGGGTCCCCACAGTGCTGTTTCCCGCTGTCTTCAGCCAGGCCTGACCCTGTTTCCTCCCGCAGTCTGACTACTTGCTTCAAGATTATCCGGTCACCGTGGCCTCCAATCTGCAGGACGTGAGTCACGTTGGGAGGGACCCAGGGTGGAGGTGGGGACCACAGACTCAAGATGCCCCACCCAGGCGAGCGCATAACCTGGCACTCCCCTCCGCAAAGCCAGGAATCGGCGTCCCCTGCCCCTCCTCCCTCGGACCCAGCAGCCGCGGCCCGGCCCCTCCTCCCTCAGACCCGTGGGTTCTCCCCCCAGGAGGAGCTCTGCGGCGCCCTCTGGCGGCTGGTCCTGGCACAGCGCTGGATGGAGCGGCTCAAGGCTGTGGCTGGGTCCAAGATGCGAGGCTTGCTGGAGCGCGTGAACACGGAGATACACTTTGTCACCAAATGTGCCTTTCAGGTCAGCCCTGAACTTAGGGGACAAGTGAGGGGGAGGGAGATGCCTTCCTAGGCATTGGCAGTAAAGCCACCCAAGGAAGGTGGAGCCAGAACCCAATCCCCTGCAGAGCCCGGTTCCTGCAGAAAAACATGTCCCTAGAAACCGGCCATGGGAGGGCTCTGCTCCCATTCTGGGGTCCAGGTTTCCTAGGCCATGATGAAGGGTGCCACTGAGGGGTTCTTCCACCCCCAAAAGAAAACAGGGGAGAAGGGGGATCTCTAAACTCTGAGGAGGCCGGGTGCTGTGGCTCACACCTGTAATCCCAGCACTTTGGGAGGCCGAGGTGGGTGGATCACTTGAGGTCGGGAGTCCCGAGACCAGCCTAAACAACATGGGGAAACCCCCATATTTTAGTCTCTACTAAAAATACAAAAAAATTAGCCAGGCGCGGTGGCACATGCCTGTAATCCTCAGTTACTGAGGAAGCTGAGGCAGGAGAATCACTAAAACCCGTGAGACGGAGGTTGTGGTGAGCCGAGATCCGCACCATTGCACTCCAGTCTGGACAACAAATGCGAAACTCCGTCTCATAAATAACAATAATAATAATAATAGTAATCCCAGCACTTTGGTAGGCTGAGGTGGGTGGATCACAAGGTCGGGAGTTTGAGAACAGTCTGGCCAATACGGTGAAACCCCGTCTCTACTAAAAATACTAAGAAAAAAAAAGCCGGGCGCGGTGGCTCAAGCCTGTAATCCCAGCACTTTGGGAGGCCGAGGCGGGTGGATCACGAGGTCGAGAGATCGAGACCATCCTGGTCAACATGGTGAAACCCCGTCTCTACTAAAAATACAAAAAATTAGCTGGGCATGGTGGCGTGTGCCTGTAGTCCCAGCTACTCAGGAGGCTGAGGCAGGAGAATTGCCTGAACCCAGGAGGCGGAGGTTGCGGTGAGCCGAGATCGCGCCATTGCACTCCAGCCTGGGTAACAAGAGCGAAACTCCGTCTCAAAAAAAAAAAAAAAAAAAAAAAAAAATACTAAGAAAAAAAAAGTTAGCCAGGCATGGTGGCGGGCGCCTGTACTCCCAGCCACTCGGGAGGCTGAGGCCGAGGCCGCAGAATTGCTTGATCTCAGGAGGCAGAGGTTGCAGTGAGCCAAGATCGTGCCACTGCACTCCAGCCTCGGCGACAGAGCGAGGCTCTGTCTCTAATAATAATAAACTCTCTGCGAGAGCCAGAGCTCACTGGGCCCTGCTGCTGGCATCACCAGCAGGAAGAGTCTTCGGCCTGCGGAGGGACGGTGGGGAGGATGATGTGGTGATGATGTCTCCCTCCCCTGCCCCTAGCCCCCCCGCAGCTGTCTTCGCTTCGTCCAGACCAACATCTCGCGCTTCCTGCAGGAGACCTCCGAGCAGCTGGTTGCTCTGAAGCCCTGGATCACTCGCCGGAATTTCTCCCGGTGCCTGGAGCTACAGTGTCAGCCTGGTAAGGCTCCCAGCCACCCCCACGTCCCTCCTATCCTCACGGCTGCTCCTTCACTGCGGTGTCCCAGACACTAGCGGTGACAAGGGCAAGCTTCTTCCTCTTTCTGGACCTCAGTTTACCTTTTTCTTTTTTCTGAGACGGAGTCTTGCTCTGTCACCCAGGTTGGAGTGCAGTGGCAACAATCTCGGCTTACTGCAACCTCCGCCTCCTGGGTTCAAGCGATTCTCTGGTCTCAGCCTCCCATGTAGCTGCGATTCCAGGCCTGCGCCACCATGCCCTGCTAATTTTGTACTTTTAGTAGAGATGGGGTTTCACCATGTTGGCCAGGCTGTTCTCAAATTCCTGACCTCAAGTGATCCGCCCTCCTTGGCCTCCCAAAGTGCTGGGATTACAGGCATGAGCCACTGCACCCCACCTGTGCACTCATTTAATTTGTGACAACCTGACAAGGTAGGTACAATGATTATCCTACTTTTACAGATAAGCAAACTGAGGCACAGAGAGGCCAAGCAGCCCACCTGAGGTCACACAGCCAGCACCAGCCAGGCCTCTCTTTCCTTCCTTACCCCAGCCCTTCTCCTTGGTCACCTAGCCTCCTCTTTCTCCCCAGACTCCTCGACCCTGCCACCCCCACAGAGTTCTGGGGCCCTGGAGGCCACAGCGCCAACAGCCCCGCCGTCCCCTCTGCTCTTCCTGCTGCTGCTACCCACGGGCCTCCTGCTGCTGGCCGCTGCCTGGTGCCCGCACTGGCAGAGGACACGGCAGAGGATACCCCGTGCTAGGGAGCAGGTGAGCAGGGTGGGCAGAGGGGGCAAAGGGTGCCCAGAGGGTGGCCTACCTGTGGCTGACACTTTGGGGGCCACAGGTGCCTCCCGTCCCCAGTCCCCAGGACCTGCTGCTTGTGGAGCACTGACCCAGCCGGGGCCTCATCCTGGTGAGTCCTTCACGGGCTGTGGAGCCAGGACTTTGTGTCTGCAGGTGGGGAGGGGCACTGGAGGCATGGAGGGTGGTGAGCAGTGGAAGGGCTGGGGCAGCTCTGGGTGCAGAAAGATCCCTCTGGAGCTGGGCATGGTGGCTCACGCCTTTAATCCCAGCACTTTAGGAGGCCGAGGTGGGCGGATCACTTGAGGTCAGGAGTTCAAGACCAGCCTGACCAACATGGCAAAACCCAGTCTCTACTAAAATTATAAAAATTAGCCAGGTGTGATGACACATGCCTGTAATCCTAGCTAGTTGGGAGGCAGAGGCAGGAGAATCTCTTGAATCCAGGAGGCAGAGGTTGCAGTGAGCTGAGATCCCACCATTGCACCCCAGCCTGGGCGACAGAAGGAGACTCTGTCTCAAAAAAAAACAAAAAAGAGGGCCAGGCGTGGTGGCTGGCACCTGTAATCCCAGCACTTTGGGAGGCCAGAGTGAACAGATCATGTCAGGAGTTCGAGACCAGCCTGACCAACAAGATGAAACCCCGTTGCTACAGAAGATACAAAAAATTAGCTGGGTGTGGTGGTAGAAGCCTGTGATCCCAGCTACTTGGGAGGCTGAGGCAGGAGAATTTCTTGAACCCGGGAGGCGGAGGTTGCAGTGAGCCAAGATCACACCCTTGCACCCAAGCCTGGGCGACAGGGCAAGACTCTGTCTCAAAAAAAAAAAAAAAAAAGAAGAAAGAAAGACCCAGCCAGCCACAGTGGCTCACACCTATAGTCCCAGCACTTTGGGAGGCCGAGGTGGGCAGATCACGAGGTCAAGAGATTGAGACCATCCTGGCCAACTTGGCAGAACACTGTTTCTGCCAAAAATACAAAAATTCTCCGGGTGTGGTGGTGCACATCTGTAGTCCCAGCTACTCAGGAGGCTGAGGCAGGAGAATGGCTTGAACCCAGGAGGCGGAGATTGCAGTGAGCCAAGATTGAGCCACTGCACTCCAGCCTGGGAGACAGTGTGAGACTCCATCTCTAAATAAATAAATAAATAAATAAATACCGACCCTTCTGGGGCCATCATGGAGAGGGACTGGAGACCAAGCTGGAGGGTGTGGGAGGGCCCAGGGCAAGGACCATGTCTGAGCCAGGCTGGGACCAGGGGATGGAGTGGAGTGTGTAGGGCAAAGAGTCAGGGGTCAGAGAGCAGGAGGGACAGGGCTGGCGCCTGACAGGCTTGAGTTGGTGCAGACAGCCTGGGTCCGGCCCGGTGATGGGTGGATGGGGGCAGGGACCTGGGAGAGAGGGAGATTAGGGAAAGCCATTGAGCTCACTGGGGACCTGAAGGAGTTTGCAAGCCAGGACAGAGCAGCCTCCTGGGGCAGGAAGGGAATGGCATTCCAGAAAGAGGGAACTGTCTTTGCGAAGCCCTTTGGTATGAGAAAGCTCAGGGTGTTCCGGTAACTTGGGCCCGGCATGGGGCAGCAAGGAGCCATGGGAGGTATGAGAGGAAGAAGAGAAGCTGGGAACATTTCAAATCTAACCTTTTGTAGCAATAGGTCACACACAGAGTCCCCTGGTAATGCAGTCCCCATACTGGGCTTTCTACAAATGAACTCACTTCCTTGAGAAGTTGTTGCCATTGTGATCCCATTTCACTGAAACCAAGGCACAGAGAGGTAAATAATTTGGCAAAAGTCACACGGCTCAAGGGTGACGACCAAGATTTGACTCAAGGTTGTCTTTCTTTATTTTGAGATGCAGTCTCGCTCTGTCACCCAGGCTGGCATGCGATGACACAGTCTCTGCTCACTGCAACCTCCACCTCCCGGATTCAAGCGATTCTCCTGCCTGAGCCTCTGGAGTAGCTGGGATTACAGGCACCCGCGACCACGCCCGGCTAATTTTTTATATTTTTAGTAAAGACTGGTGTTTTTTTGTTTTGTTTTGTTTTGTTTTTAAGACAGAGTCTCACTCTATTGATCAGGCTGGAGTGCAACGGCATGATCTCTGCTCACTGCAACCTCCACCTCCCAGGTTCAAGCAATTCTTCTGCCTCAGCCTCCTGAGTAGCTGGGACTACAGGGAGGTACCACCATTCCCGGCTAAATTTTTGCATTTTTAGTACAGACAGGGTTTCACCATGTTGGCCAGGCTGGTCTCAAACTCCAGATCTCATTATCTGGCAGCTGCAACCTCAGAAAGTGCTGGGATTACAGGCATGAGCCACCATGCCTGGCCAGTAATTGATATTAATTTTATTGTATTTCACCCAGCACGGTCGCTCACACCTGTAACTCCTAGGCCGATCTCTTAAGCCTAGGACTTCAAGACCAGCTTGGGTAACGTGGTGAAACCCTGCCTCTACTAAAAATATAAAAATGAGCCGGGCTTGGTGGTGCACACCTGTAATCCCAGCTACTCAGGAGGCTGAGGCAGGAAGAATCACTTGAACCCAGGAGGCAGTGGCGGCAGTGAGCCACGATCATGCCACTGCACTCCGGCCTGGGCGACAGAGCAAGGCTGTCTCAAAAGAAGTTCCAGGCCGGGCGCGGTGGCTCAAGCCTGTAATCCCAGTACTTTGGGAGGCCAAGGCGGGTGGATCACGAGGTGGAGAGATCGAGACCATCCTGGTCAACATGGCGAAACCCCGTCTCTACTAAAAATACAAAAATTGGGTATGGTGGCGCGTGCCTGTAATCCCAGCTACTCAGGAGGCTGGGGCAGGAGAATTGCCTGAACCCAGGAGGCAGAGGTTGCGGTGAGCCGAGATCGCGCCATTGCACTCCAGCCTGGGTAACAAGAGCGAAACTCCGTCTCAAAAAAAAAAAAAAAAAATTAAGTAAAAAAAAAAAAAAAAAGAACGCGGTGAGACAGATGCATCTGTCATCCCATTTTACAGGGGAGGACACTGAGGTACACAGAGGGGAGACACCAGCCAGAGAATGCACAGCTCGGACACAGAAGAAGTTGGCTAGAGGACGGTCCCTTCCTTGGGCCCAATGCCCCTCTTGCTTCCTCCTCAGGATGGAGGCAACACCAGAACCCAGCACCGGCCCCATTTACCCAACTCTGTACAAAGCCATTGTCCCCCTGAAATGTATATAAATCATTCTTTTCTACCAGCTCTGGCCAGGTCTGTCTGTGGATGGGTGTGGATGGGGTAGTTTTGATTTCAGTCTTGGTTTTTCAGTTGCAATGCAATGTTTCATTAAATAGGTGTTTTCTGAGGTCTCCTGGAGCCCCAGGCCAGGACTGGTTAATGCTAGAGCCGGGATTTGAGTCAGAACCAGCCCAGTCGCCCCAGGTCTTCTAGGCTATGGAGGAGAAGACAAGGGACTCAGCGTGCCTGGGTGCAGGATGCCACAGGCTCCTATGGAGATAGCATAGAGGCAGTGTGGGAGCCCAGGGGTGTAGGGGGCAACTAACCGAGGCTGGGAGATCAGAGAGGCTTTCCAGAGCCAAAGGGCACTGCGATGGTGACAAGCCAGATTTGGAGGGGTTGGGGAGGGCATCCTGGGCAAGGGACCCAGCTGAAGCAAAGGCCGACAGTCCAGAAAGTGAGAAGTTTCTCTGAGGAATGCTCAGCGGATTGGTGCAGCCAGGCATCTAGAAGTCATTCCTTCATCCACTCCTAGATTCCCTGGGGAAGACCACTTCCACCTGTTTTACAGATGGAGAAACTGAGGCCCAGATAAGGCCAGGGGTTTGTCCAGGTCAGAGTAAAGTCGACCAGACACTGGGATCCAAATCTCTAAGCCTAGAATGGGCAGGGCACCGGGGCTCACGCCGGTAATGCCAGCACTTTGGGAGGCCCAGATGGGAAGATCGCTTGAGCCCAGGAGTTCTAGATCAGCCTGGCCAACATGGCAAGATTCCCCACCGCCCTCGTCCCTGCCTTGACAAACAAACAAACAAACAAACAAACAAAAAAATATATATATATATATTTGCCAGGCGAGGTGGCGCACCCCTGTAGTCCCGGTTACTCGAGAGGCTGAGGCAGAAGGATCCCTTGAGACTGGGAAGTCGAGGCTGCGGTGGGCCATGATCGCCCGACTGCATTCTGACCTGGGTGACAGAGCGAGCCCCTGTCTTAGAAAATAAAGTAAGCTTGGACTGAGCGTGGAAGAGCGGGCCTGGGGGGTGTCTGGTCTCCCCCTGCGGGCCACCAGAGGCCCTGCAGCCTTCAGTCGCTTGAAGGGGTAGTGGCGCTTTCCCTTACAAACATGGCAGACAGCGTGCGAATGAGATTTACAGCCCCTCAAACACCGCCGCCGAAGCCGGACGGCCACGCCCCAGCAGCACCGCCTCCACACCCCACGTGATCTATTGCAGGGCCCGGCTCTGGTCGCGGAAGTCCGACCGGAAGTATATCCGGATTGGACAATTGAAAGATAACCCGCCTTCCGTGGGACATCTCTGCGCGCGCGCACAACGCTTTGACCAATCACAACACAAAAAGCTGTTTGCGCAGCCCACGTTGCGTCACTTCTGCCGCCCCTGTTTTAAGGGATAAGAAACCCTGCGACAAGACCTCCTCCTTTCCCGGGCGGCTCTCGAAGATGGCGGAGGTGCAGTTGTGGGCTCCGCGCGGGCCGGGGCGGCACGGGGCCGGGTGGGATTCAGGCTGGAACGGGGTCGTACCCTCTCGGTTCTGCTACCTGTGTTGCGGAGTTTAACATCCGCAGTTAAGCAAAATGGAAGTCTTTTGTGGTAAAGGGAAAATGTAGAAAAGGACGGGGCTCTCTTTAGGCCTAGGGTTGGCTACAAAGCGGCATTTCTTTCTTGAGGCGAGGGTGATGGAACTCCCGGTACAGGACGGATTATTTTGAAACTAGACCGCTTATCTTGAATATGGGTAGTGGGTGGGGGCCTCGGGGTCGAGTCTTGGCCGAATTGGACCCTTGTGTGTCCTCAACGATGGGGAACACGCGAAAGTCTGGCCGGGCGGTTTCGGGGCCGTGAGAAACTGAGGATTGCCGAAAGTGGAAGGTATTTCCATCCTTCCCCGTGCGCAGGCTGCTTTTATCTCACGTGGAGGTGTTAATCGGGGTCCCCTGCAGCTCTGGTGGTTCTAATTCTGAATACCTTTCTGCGGGGGGTCGAGAGAGCTGTTGCTTGCCGGGCACTCAGGAATGAACTCGTTTTCCTTGGTTTGCGGGGTTGGCGATTGTCCTGAGGCCTGTTGGTTTCTGGAAGTCGAGAGCTGTGACAAATAGTTCCACGAGGATGGGACATCTTTTTTGCCTGCAAACACCTGGGGGCCCTTTTCCTGCTCCTTGTGTAATTAAGTTGGCCCTGGAAAGGTTTCCTTGTGAATAGTCTGGTTGTTGGGGGCAGAACTTCTGAGCCAGGCTGATCAAAGCAAGTGGTGATATTAACCGAACGTGTGTCTCTGTGCCTAGCACAGTTTGCATTGTTTCGTCTAGTTAACGATATTCCTGAGGCAGATATTGTTAACCTTATTTGACAGGAGAGGGAATCAAAACTTGGGAATTGGTGAGTTTGGGCCAAGGTCAGGACTTCAGGAAGTCTGGATTTAGATTCTTTATGTATATCTGTATTGGGTTCCAACACTTACAAAGGACATGTAAAGACAAAAATATGCTTCGTGATTTTGCATTATAACAATGAAGATCTCTACTCTGGGGTTTTTTTTCTTTTTTTGTTTTTCTGAGATGGAGTCGCCTTGACTGCCAGGCTGGAGTGCAATGGCGGGATCTTGGCTCATTGCAACCTCTGCTTAGGTTCAAGTGACTCTTCTGCCTCACCCTCCCGCGTAGCTGGGACTACAGCTGGCCGCCGTGATGCTCGGCTGATTTTTGTGTTTTTAGTAGGTGAGATTTCACTATATTGGCCTCAAGTGATCTGCCGGCCTAGGCCTCCCAAAGTGCTGGGATTACAGGTGTGAGCCACTGCGCCTGGCCAGGATTCCTACTCTAGAGGAAGCTGAGGTTCGGTGCCTGAGCAGTTTACCTAGGCAAGGAGAGTGATGCAGTAGCAGAGCTAGCATGGGTTTTTGCCTGCTCTGCCTAACCTCATCCCGCCTGAAGTTCGGTTTTCTTACAAATGAAATTTGTCGTAGAAACATCCTATACATCAGAGGATAGATTCTGCTAATATTCTACATTTGATTGGACATGGTGGCTCAAGCCTGTAATCCCACCATTTTGGAAAACTGTACTCGCTTGAGGCCACGAGTACAAGACAAGCCTAGGCAACATGGCAAAACCTTTACTGAACAAAAAAAGTACAAAAATTTTATGGGAGGCTGAGGCTGGTGGATCACCTGAGGTCAGGAGTTCCAGACCAGCCTGGCCAACTTGACGAAATCCCATCTCTACTGAAAACACAAAAATTAGCCAGGCATGGTGGTGGGAGCCTGTAATCAAAGCTTCAGGGGAGGCTGAGGCAATAGAATCGCTTGAACTGAACCCTGGAGGCGGAGGTTGCACTGAGCTCAGATCATACCATTGCACTTCAGCCTGGGCAACAAGAATGAAACTCCACCTCTTTTTTTTTTTTTTTCTTTTTTAAAATTTTATTCCTTTGTCACCCATTTCAAGTCTGAGAAACTCCATCTCAGAAAAAAAATTAGCTGCATGTGGTGGCGGTGCGCCCATGGCCCCAGCTACTCATGAGGCTGAGGTGGGAGGATAGCTTGATCTGGGAGGTTGACTGCCTGTGCAACGGGAAGCGCTGTCTCAAAACCAAAATCCTACAGTTAGTTATGAGGTCTTGTAACTTAATCAGTGAGCAGAGCCTTGCTGGTCTGCATTGAAGTTCTTGGCTTTGCAAAATACAGTCTGAGCATAAAAAAAAAATCACAGGAGACCTGAGATATGAGAGGAGTTTGGGCATTTACACTGCTCACTCACTGATCCTGAAGCAGCCTTGTTTTCTCAGCCCTTTCCCTCATCTGTAGAGTGTGCCTCGGTGCACAGTCCCCAGCTGTGATGGCTGGGTTCAAAGTAGGATAAAAGAAGGGAATGCTTGCTTGAGGCCAAAAAAAGATTCCTTGTCTCCCACAGGTCCTGGTGCTCGATGGTCGAGGCCATCTCCTGGGCCGCCTGGCAGCCATCGTGGCTAAGCAGGTACTGCTGGGTAAGTCGCCTCCCAGAGTCCCCCTGTGGAGCCCCCGCTGGCGGTCAGTGATGAGCAACATTCACCATCTTTCGTTTGAGTCTCACGGCCATGAGATCAACCCCATGCACCGCTCTGAGACCTGCCAGCAACTCTTCCCAGGGTCAGGGACTTGAGGCTCAGAAGTGATTTTGCATTAGGCTAGCTTTTCGTTTAGACATGAACTGGGCTCTGGCGAGTACTGCACTGTGTCTGGGGTGCCTGCGCAGGCTGTGGTAGAGCCCTCAGCTCTTCGTAACCTCTCCCTCCCTCTAGGCCGGAAGGTGGTGGTTGTTCGCTGCGAGGGCATCAACATTTCTGGCAATTTCTACAGAAACAAGTGTAAGTGACAGCTTGGGAGGAGCATTGGAGGGGGTCTCCCTGTGGGCTGTTGAGGCTCTGAAGGCAATTCAAGCAGTGGTGGGAGAGGCTACTTGCTCCTGACAAGGTCCTTGGAATTGGGAGTTTGGGGGTGCTGGCAGACGAGCAGGCCTCACACTCTGATGTCTCGCTAGTGAAGTACCTGGCTTTCCTCCGCAAGCGGATGAACACCAACCCTTCCCGAGGCCCCTACCACTTCCGGGCCCCGAGCCGCATCTTCTGGCGGACCGTGAGAGGTGAGCAGGGTGTGGGGACTGCAGCTGGGGACGGGCAGGTGGCCGGTGATGAGGACTTCTCCCACTATGTTCGAGTTTCCCGACCATGAGATGACTCCACATGCACTACCATCTGAGGCCACCCATGGACCCGCCTCAGTGGGGAGGGTGGGTGTCCTTAGGAGCCCCTCTGAGCAGGCCTGCTCTCTGTCACCCCACAGGCATGCTGCCCCACAAGACCAAGCGAGGCCAGGCCGCCTTGGACCGCCTCAAGGTGTTTGACGGCATCCCACCGCCCTATGACAAGGTGAGCTGTGCCAAGCCCACCAGACAGCAGCCTTGCCCATGGCGTCTGTGATGTTCACAATTACCTACATTGTTTGATCCTCATGAAAGCAACACTG